AAGTTTGCCCGGGCCCACAAGAGACAAACTTGAATCAATGCTAGCTCAATAGAACATCATCAGAACGTCATAAAAAAACATTATCATAGTAGAAGCCTGTACCTCCCACCACCTACTCACCCTGCTCGTGATCCTCGGAGGATGGAGGCAAAGCATCGCTCGAGGGGTCTTGCCAATCGAGCCGTCCGCAGAGTTTTTTTAATACAACGGGCTTTCTCATTTTTGCCTCTGAGATGCAAAAACCTTCACGGTTATCCTTAAATTATTGTCGCCCAGTATCTGTAATAGATGAAGTCAAGCTCCATTATTGTACAGAATACATCACAAAATTAGCATATGAAAATTTTTTTTATCCTCATCATACGGAGAATGTTCCACCTCGTCCAATATACAGGAGGTGGGGGATATATACTGGGACTGGGGATCGAAGCGGGCCGATCCGAACTGAATTTGGAATAAGACGGAACTGGTCAAAGCGAGCAGAACCAAACTGTGACTGAGACTACCACTAGAAACAGTACCTGCGGTGAAAGATAAAAAAGGAAGTTTCAAGTAAAACAGAAAATTGAAATAGAATGGAAGATTATTGAATTCACAACGAGCATACTTACTTTCATCAGTGTACTTCCCAAGCTTGCGACGTTGGGGGGCTTGAGACACTCGGGGGGCTTGCTACGTTTAGGGGCCTTAGACGAATCCTCTTGAACCACTTCGTAGGTGCACATCTCCTTCTTTCGACGTTTGTTGGCCTCAGACTCATCCTCCTGCACCCTTCGGAAGTGCACATCCTCTTGCTACCTTGTGGGGGCTTGCGACGTTTGGTGGCCTCAGACGCATCCTCCTGCACCTCTTCGGAAGTGCACATCTTCTTCTTGCTACCTCGTGGGGCTTGCGAAGTTTGGTGGCCTTAGACGCATCCTCCTGAACCTCTTCGGAGGTAGGCGGTGCTGATGATCCTGTAGATGAAGAAGGCACTGCGAGTCGAATTGAAAGTGCGCGTGGAAAGCAAAATGTTTTTTTAGCAATAAAATATAAGGTTCGTGTAATACAACAAGATTGCTCTTATTACCAAAATCATTTAGAGCCAAAGAAGATACATTACACGCACCGAGACCGCTGCTCGTCGTCTGAGAAAGAATGCACTTCTCTCCAACATCTGTTCTAGGGACTATAGTCCCAGTAGATGAAGATGCTGAAGTACCATGTGAAGGCGAGGTTTCACGAGGATATTTAGGTGGATCCGTTCCAGCAGCATCTTGCCTGCTTTCGAGACTTGGCTTACCCGGCAGCTTCTCCATCTGGCACTTAGTCAGCCCAGGTGAAGTAGTCGTAGGCTCATGCGAGCTCGGTGGATGGCTGTTGCCGTCATTACAAAAAAGCTTATCCTTCTTGTTTGAGAGAGAGGATCGTAGTCCTCTGCGTGTTTTTCCCTTTTTTACACTTCCTGCTAAACTAATAGTCTTAGCTAAAGAAAGGGGGCAGTTCTTCAAGGTATCCATCACAATAAAAATTATGTTAATAAAAGTTCGATACCTGGAATAACACGATGTCTGGAATAAAAAGAATAAGGCATGAAATAACTAACAAAATGATACAAGGGATGCATCAATACGACCGTAATCATAGTAATCACGTATGAAATTTGCCATCAAGTCAATAATAAAACTTTCACTGGTTCATTACGAAGTGGGAATAATCATTTGGAAGGTTCCTCCCGGTTTCATTCCGGGCGTGAAAAGGGAAATGTAAGGAATCCTACCTACATAATAACCAAACCCCACAACTGATACCAACGGTAAGACACCGCGCGCTCAGCGGTGGAGCGCTCAGAAAATTCCCCCTAGGAGCGCGAAATCCCATAGGACTTCTGACGAGCACAGACACACGTCAGAAGTCCCCCTTGAGGGGAGCGAAACCTAAAAAAAATTCTAATAACAATCAATTTATTTTTTTCGGCTCGGTTCGGCAAACCGAGCCGAACTTAGGTAGGAACTAGACCGAACTGGTCAGTCCGAGCCGAACCGAACTGGTGCTGGAGACCTAACTGGTCAAACAGAACAGAAGCGAAGTGGTACTGGGGATCGAACTGCGCAAGCCGAGCTGAACCGAACTGCTACCGGGATCGAACTGGACAAACCGGGCCGAACAGAACTTTTACAGGGGACAGAAATTGGCAAACAGATTAGAGATTAGAAAAGAATTGAGACTGTTATTGAACCGAACCGAAATGGTACTGGGACCGGGTGGGGGAGTTTAGGTACAAGATCCTTAAATTTTATAGAAAACATAATTGTCTAGCAGTTCATATATAAACTTATGTTCCTTCTCAATATTCATAATATTATTATTATTTTCTGCATTCTAAAACACCTTTTTCCAAAACCAACGGGTCTAGTAGTTAATATATAACTTCAACTCATTTTTTGTTGATAAAATTTCTCACATCGAAATAATACTTACACAAATGAACAGAATTTCATGCACAATGAATAAATGAATAAACCCACGTGTTTTGGGACCTCCTCACATGCACTTCCATGCCTTATACGAACAAATATTGATAACCAATAAATAAGCACGAAATAGCTCGTTACTTCGCAAATAGTCAACCAATGATCTGTNGCAATTTTAATATGCTCTTCTAATCGTCAAAACAATCATTTTGATACCAAAACGAGCGTGCTGTGGTGATTTTTTCTCCCGATTTTTTATTTTCAGGGAAAATGGCTTATATCTTTGGGAAAAGTTGTCGGATTGATCTGCAAACGTAATATGTTGTTAAACTCGACATGGAAATCATTTTACACTAAAAATTGGAATTGGGTTATGGGTTAGTTTTTTCCCCAAAATGCACTATTACTGTTATTCAATTCTGACACCGCCAGACAAGTTAAAAATTTGGTTGCCTAATCAGTAGACTTCATTAATGCTTCATTGCGTTTTTTTCAGAGTTGTTGGCCAATTTATCTTTAGAATATGGGATCGGCGAGTGCATTTCAGATAAAACTCTGCTTTAACACCATTAGGCATATTTCAATCAAGCTAAAAATGTAATATGTTTTTAAACTGTATATATCGATCATTTTAAAATCGTAAATGTAGAAAGTTTGGGGGGTATTTTTTTAGGAAATTAACTATCGTTAGAATTTCATGAATCGAGCTTAGTGGGAACCAGACCGAACTGGTCCGTCCGAGCCGAACCGAACTAATGCTGGAGACCTAACTGGTCAACCTAACTGGTAATTTTCCAAAACCTAAGGATCTAGTAAGTCCTATATAACTTCAACTCATTTTTTGTTGATGAAATTTCTGACATTCTGAAAAATTGCCGGATTGATCTGCAAACGTAATATGTTGTTAAACTCGACATGGAAATCATTTTACACTAAAAATTGGAGTTGGGTTATGGGTAAGTTTTTTCCCAAAATGCACTATTACTGTTATTCAATTCTGACACCGCCAGACAAGTTAAAAATTTGATAGCCTAATCAGTAGACTTCATTAATGCATCATTGCGTTGTTTTTTTTTTTTCAGAGTTGTTGGCCAATTTATCTTTAGAATATGGGATTGGCGTGTGCATTTTAGATAAAACTCTGCTCTAACACCATTAGGCATATTTCAATCAAGCTAAAAATGTAATATGTTGTTAAACTGTTAATATCGACCATTTTAAAATCGTAATTGTAGAAAGTTTGGGGGGTATTTTTTTTAGGAAATTAACTATCGTTAGAATTTCATGAATCCCCCGCTCGAGACGAACTTAAGTGGGAACCAGACCGAACTGGTCGGTCCGAGTCGAACCGATCTGGTGCTGGAGACCTAACTGGTCTACCTAACTGGTAATTTTCCAAAACCTAAGGATCTAGTAAGTCATATATAACTTCATCTCATTTTTTGTTGATGAAATTTCTGACATCGAAATAATACTTACACAAATGAACAGAATTTCATGCACAATGAATAAATGAATAAATCCACGTGTTTTGGGACCTTCTCACATGCATTTCCATGCCTTATACGAACAAATATTGATAACCAATAAATAAGCACGAAATAGCTCGTTACTCCGCAAATAGTCAACCAATGATTATGCAATTTTAATATGCTCTTCTAATCGTCAAAATAATCATTTTGATACCAAAACGAGCGTGCTGTGGTGATTTTTTCCCGATTTTCTATTTTCTGGGAAAATGACTTGTATCTTTGGGAAAAATTGTCGGATTGATCTGCCAACGTAATATGTTGTTAAACTAGACTTGGAAATCATTTTACACTAAAAATTGGAGTTGGGTTATGGGTCAGTTTTTTTCCCAAAATGCACTATTACTGTTATTCAATTCTGACACCGCCAGACAAGTTAAAAATTTGGTAGCCTAATCAGTAGACTTCATTAATGCTTCATTGCGTTGTTTTTTCAGAGTTGTTGGCCAATTTATCTTTAGAATATGGGATCGGCGTGTGCATTTTAGATAAAACTCTGCTCTAACACCATTAGGCATATTTCAATCAAGCTAAAAATGTAAAATGTTGTTAAACTATAAATATCGATCATTTTAAAATCATAATTGTAGAAAGTTTGGGGGGTATTTTTTAGGAAATTAACTATCGTTAGAATTTCTTGAATTCCCCCGCTCGAGATGAACTTAAGTGGGACTAAGATAAAAACGGGCAAACCGAGCCAAACTTAGGTGGGAACTAGACCGAACTGGTCAGTCCGAGCAGAACCAAACTGGTGCTAGAGACCTAACTGGTCAAACAGAACAGAACCGAAGTGGTACTGGGGATCGAACTGCGCAAGTCGATCTGAACCGAATTGCTACCGGGATCGAACCGGACAAACCGAGCCGAACAGAACTTTTACAGGGGATAGAAATTGGCAAACAGATTAGAGATTAGAAAAGAATTGTGAGATAGCACAACACTCTCAGATAAGCCTTTCCTTCCTTCAGCAGACGTGATATTCCTAGATAACAGGTAAATAATACAAGAAAGTTGCAAACTCAAACCAGTTTTATTCAAAACAAAACAATTCTGTTGCACAAATGATTCCACAAATTACAAGAGGACTGAACTGAAGTGGGACTGAGACCAACTGGTCAAACCTAACCGTACCGAATTGGTACCGTGGATCAAACTGGGCAAAAGTTTTTAATTTAAAATTGCTATTTGTGCCCCCCCCCCGAGCCGAACTTAGGTGGGAACTAGACCGAACTGGTCAGTCGTGCTTCTCAAAAGTAAACTCTTGCGTCTTAATAATATAGTTTACAACATTAACACTTTTCCAAATCTCCACTACACATATTTACAATGAATGGCAAAAAGAGGGCAACGATATTGGTATCATCATGTCCGTTTCGGAGCTCGCTATGGCTGCATAATTCTTTATTTACGCTATCAATCCACTTATACAACATATTGTGGGCTTCAGATATCTGCCAAGCTGGGCAAGGCAGCGGCGCTGACATCCATGATGGTGAACCAGGACCCCGATTCTTAACAATATAGTTTTAACATTAGCACTCTTTTCCAAATCTCCACGAAACATATTTACAATGAATGGGAAAAGGAGGGCAACGATATTGGTATTAAAGTGGTAGTATTTATCATGTTCGTTAAAGCTGCATAATTCTTTATTTACGCTATCAATCCACTTATTCAACATATTGCGGGCTTCAGATATCTGCCAAGCTGGGCAAGGCAGCGCTGACAACACTGATGGTGAATCAGGACCCCGGGCAGCTTCGGAACTGTTATTGTCCTGCACTTCAGCAGCCATACGACCCTCGTCAACAGTAACGTCAATGGACGATGCCGACTTCTCGGAAGGTTTATCAAAAAATGTATCAAGTGAAGAGGATGATTCTTCTTGACGATTCTCCAGGACAGGTTCTGATGATACAGCATCTGTCACTTCCATGACCGATGATAATGAGGACTCATATGAATGGTTAGCAACCGATATGTCGAGTGACGAGGGTGACGAGGAGTTTCCTTGACGCTTGTTGATGGACTGGAGTCTCCTTGACTGGAGCAAGTGGCCTGCACCAGTTTTTCCGCTTCTGGTTGTAGTCGTCGGCCGAACATTAATTCATGCACCAGTTTTTCCGCTTATGGTTAAGCAATGTCTATCATATATCCCTTTGAGGGAGGGCAATGAGAAGTTACCCAGAATTTCGAGGTCAAGAGGCAGATTGTTGACGTAATTTGCAAACTTCATAACCGAACCCATATACTTCTTTAATGTTGCTTTCTGCAGGTGGCCTCCCACCAGGTCTCTGTAAGATGTAAGATGTCTTCAACTGTAAGATGTTTCCTGTAAGATGTTTCCGACTCTAAAGACTGTTTTCTCGAAATGCTTGCTTGATGGATTCCATAATGTCATGTGGAACGTACTTCCTAATGGCTTCTCCCTCACCAGGAACACCAATAAGTTTTACCAGTCTTTTGACAGGGAGTACTGACTGGAGTGCTTTGGACATCTCCGCCGGACTTGAGTACTCTTCATGTCTCCTCTTTATGTGAAGACCAAGTGTCGCATTGGAACAGCCAGCCAAGCAATATGGGCACGGGACCACATATCGCAACCATGGAAACTCTCCCTTTTGAAGGTATCCATAGTTCCTTCCTTCTGGTATTTTGTAAGGCACTTTGTGTCCTCTCCACAATCCCACATCGAGGCACACACTTCCAGATCGAGCTTCCTCTTCATTTTCTTTAGGTATGATAATGCTGCTGCTGTTCGCCGCCGCCCCTGAGCTAGGTTTTTCCACGCCTCTAAGATGTGAGAACTGATCTGCAACTGCTTTACCCTTACCCATACCGTCTAAAAGTACCATGAGTACATTTATGGGCAGAGATAGGGTTAGCATGTCAGCTGAGGAAATTGCCGGCAAGATGGCAGAGATGTTGATAAGTTCAGACGTAATTGCCTCCACTCTCCTGGCGATTTGGCGCACATTTAGTGTGGGAGCTGTTTCTTTCATCTTGTGGATGTTGTCTACTCGTCGGTGCAGCCTATTCATGCCGAAGGAGGCTTCTTCTGAGAAGCCATGGGCCTTCTTATAGTGCCTCATCATGTGTTTTTTAAGACACATGCCCTCACAGACGGGAATCATGCACGCCCAACTGCAGCCGTCTTTCTTCTTCTTGCCCCGTGTCCTTGAATAGGGTTTGGCACATCCACTGTGGAAAAAAAGGAAAAAAACTTGATTAGACAGTGTAGAGTATGCTAAATAATAAAGAATGATTGCAGATTCATTTCATGTCTGAGAGCCAGTCAATGCAGAAAGAGAGAGAGAGCAGATACTTACATGGGGTTCGCGTCCTCGCTCATCTCTTCATCACCATCCTCCTTGCCAGGGAGGGATGAGTCTTGGGACGGCTCTTGGGACGGCTCTTTGGACTGCTCTTTGGACTGCTCTTGATCCGGCTCTTGTGAAGGCTCTTTGGACGAAGTTCCAGACTTCGTTCTCTTCTGCTTGCTGCAAGAAATGAAAAGAGAAACGTGTCAGTGTGCATAAACTTATGACATGGAAAACACAGAAATGTCGATCATGTCCCAGTTCCAATTCGCCGGTTGGATCAGTTCCGTACCGGTACCACTTCAAGTACCCCCCTTTCAACCTTAATGGGATGTATGAATTTAAATACATACATCCTAACAAATTTCGAAATGCTGAGGAAACACAGAAATGTATCTAAAAAGAAGTCGTTACATAACAGCATTTGTATTTTTATTACATAATAAAGATATCTATCACTCACCTATCACGTGCGGTGAAGGCATCTATGATTATCTTCCGCGCTTGTGCTTTCACCATATATAGTTCTATCTTGTAAAGAAGTCCAGAAGGGTCTCTTAGTAGATATACAAGGTCATCTTCAATGGTGTGTGAGAGGAAGGGTTTTTCACCTCGGGGGGGCCCATCATCAAGTACGCCGTACTTCTGCTCACGATAACTTATGTTTTTAAAGATGTCCACACCTCCTATAATGATTCCCTTCTCTTCTTTGGTCATTTCAGGGTCTTCAAGTTGATTTTCATCAATCTTTCTCTTCTTGTGAGGCCGATCATTTGGAGTTGATTTCTCATATATTTTCTTTCTTATTAATCGTTTGCGGCGGCTAGCCACAGCAGAAGCAGTTTGACTGAATGGCTTTCCGTCATCGTCCGGCTGCTGCTGCTGCTGCCGCTGCTGCTGCTCATCATCTTCAATGTCTGACGACTGTGGACGGTTCGTGTTCTTCATGACGGAAGATCGAGCAAAAGCAAGTTTAGTCTGTTGGGCAAAATTAAAGAATTTGATTCCAAAATAATACTCAAACATTGGCACAGGGCACGCGACAGAACAAAATGTACGTATTCCTTAGCATAGGGCACACGACAGAACATAATGTACGTATTCATTGCTCAGGCATAATAGTTATCTCTTCAAGCGCCAACGAATGCTTCAAACAAATTATTTTTGAAGAATTTAGGCATAGACTCAGGTGGTAATGTTCATTTCAACTGGACAACTTAATGTTCAGACTAGGAAATGTTTTGAGTCCTTACCATAGGAAAAAAATAGGAATGTGCATGCAATTTCAAAAGGGATACTAAATTGAATATTTTCACATTTAATGCTGTTCCTTAGAAAAATGTCTGCAATCTTTTTAGCATTTAATGTCTAGTATACCACGATCAAGCACAATAATAAATTTATGAATGATGCTGGAGACATGAAATCCCAAAAATTATTTGGAATTTACCAAAAATATTGATCTGAAAACATTGAAGTCTATTCTGCTATCAAGACAAACTACCTACCAGTATATCAGGCACGGCAGGGGCGAGCGAGAGGAGTTGGCGGGCTGCTTGTGCATCAGAAGCCTCGACTTGCGCTTCCATCTTGCTAGCCTCGCGGGACGATGGACACGGCGCGTGCTGGCCTCCAAATCCATGACTGGGAGGCTTACATGAACAAGCCTTCCACGACAATCAGGAATATTACTTACATATGCAAGGGAGGAAATCAAGGAATTGCTGCAGACTGATAATGTAGGAAGGAAGTTATAATGAAGCTAATGGGGATTTTTGAAAAATTTGTTAAGTTGTTAAGTTTAGATTGCTTTAAATCATGAAATAAGATACAGATGACATGTCTACCAGTCTGTTATTTTCAACTCCAGTTAAACCCTACATGGGTTCCAACTATGGAACATCAATTGAAGGGAAATCTAATAAACCAAAAACTGCTCATGAAGCAGAGCCATGCTAGGACTGGCAGACAATCACGGTGGCAGAAATTCACTACTAGTCCACTCGCAGAAAAAATCATAAATCCATATTGAAATGCATGGCTAATCATGATCCATTACATGAATCATGTTTATGACACAGTAACTATTAGCTGGCAGGCCAGCAGAATCCATTAAGAACAGAAACATTATTGACTAAATTTAAACAAGAAACAATAATTAAACTGAAACTTCATTTTATTAATTGAATAGGTAAAGTGGATGCAAAAAACAATGCGATTCTTGTAACATGATGCAAAATTATTCTTATTGATTTATAATTATATTTACTAATTCCATGTACGAACTAATTCTCAACATTTAATGAAGCTTACAAGATAACAGAAAACAAATTTAGGAATAGAAATCAACAAAATAAATGCATCTTTGCTAAAGCTGAAAATAATTTACTGGAGACTTAATCGATAGCAGATGTTATGATAGCCAACAAAATGATGAAAGTGATAATTTTACCTCAATATCGATGCCAATTGGTTCCTCCTTCACAGTTACGTCTTCTCCCTCATATTCTAGCTCCTCCTTCACAGATATATCCATTTCTTCATATTCAGGCTCATGCGCAGGTTCCTCCTTCACAGTTATCTCGTCTCCCGCATATTTAGGCTCCTTCTTTACGGTTATATCCTTTTCTTCATATTCATGCTCTGCCTTGATGTTACCTCCCACTTTCTCTGGGAGTATAAATGAGCCACTGGCCTTGACAGCTGGAGAGATCAATATAAATAAAGATCATGATTATGCTCAACAATGGAAAATAACTCCATTACAGATGACAAACAATATACCACCGGAGTCAAGTGCTGCAGGCAATACTATATATAAGCAACTTGAATTTGACATAATATACTACTAGTATACATAGCTTGTGCAGGTACTTGGTGCATTCCTACCTATTCAGCTTACCATCAGACTCGACTCGGCACACCTCAGGTGTTTGGATGAGGTTCAGCTCAGCATGCCAGCCCCTCTTGACAGCAGCATCAGAAAGCTTGTGCATCACAACACGGCACTCCTTCATCTTAATCTTCATGATAATTATTAAATTTGTGCTGATCCAAGTTGAACTGAGACTTATTGATTATCAAAAATTAGAAAATAGCATCAAAGCCAAAACAATTAACTGCATAAAATTTATTAGGCAATGACAACAATGTACAAGCGTTATGTGGGTATAGGTCACAATTCATTATTTCACATATATACGTAAATGTAATCTGTTCTCATTGGAAATCCATCCCTTTGTACCATCATACAGAGCATGCAGTCTATTTACCATGTGTACCCACCCATGTTAAATTTAACTTGCTGAAAATCATCTATTTTAGACCTAGATCAGCATTAGTTGAAACTAAATGACAGATAAGAAGACAAAAATTTAAGATTTTATTAGCTGGAGCACCTCTCACCAGACAAAAACTTATCCAAAATATTACAGTTTCTTGAGATTAAATCATACAATTACTTGGAATGAAGATTTTTTACCCTTAAAGATGTTAATTTAATATGAACATATGAAGCAATCCTGTAAAAAATGTGATTTTAACCTTTTTGAATGCAAGCATAGAAAAATGAAAGAATTTGAATTTCATGAGTCACTATAATGATGAATGGGCAATTATAAGATAATTTTATTTGTATGAATTTTTCAAAATTTTGCATGATATTGGAGAAAACAGCAGATGAAAATTCCATAAAAAGCGGTAAATACTCTAAATAATGTGAAATTTTTTTCATTCTATTTTATCAAATGCAAAGGGAAACTATCAAGTTGCAATTTGACTTGATTTTATCCAGCTCCTTTTAATTATCTACATTAATATTACTTCTTCCAACTTTTTAAAAAATGAGTAAAGAGCATCTATTTCACTGTCCCAAGTCAAAACTTTGATTTAAATGCTGGCAGAAGGTGAGGCCATGTATGGATGGATGGGCAGATTGCAGATTGTTGGAGGCATGATAACATAAGTCAGGGCCTCAAACATAAGCCAGGGACAAGTAGGGCTTTTTTTGGAAGATTTTAAGTGACCATAAATGATAACTTGCCCATAAAGAGGGTTAACAACACACATTTCAATTCAATTTGTTTCCAAAGTGATTTTCTTCTTGATGCAACCTTTGTCAAGAATTTTAATCAGAACCCTCCATCAAAGACACACTATTTTTCCAATAGATAACTTTAATCAAATTGAAGTAAAGAATGTTGTAACTTTTATTTACAGATTAGTGATACACAACACCCATATTTCCATATTCGAATTCGATAATGACTTGACTAGAAACATTCTTTTATAAATGAGAACAAACATTGATTAAAATTGCATTATAGTATACATTGAAATGATGCACTTGACTAAAATGCTAGAAAATGTCCTGGATAAAATGAAGTCATTTTGGGCTCATCAAAACTTGAGTTAGGGATTAGCAGCATGCCTCTCTCCTTCAGCTTGTTAGATTGTTTCACTAATTTAATGAATCAAGAACATTACTTTTCAAATTGACTACAATATTTGTTAATGGGCAAAGTGTTTTAGACTACTGGTATTGTAATTTTAGTAGGTATAAAAATGACACAAGCATGGAATTATCTAGCACAAAAGAGAATAGATATAGTGAAGCCTGGAAAATGTACTACGTAACACAAATAACACATGCAAGTCAGCCAAAGAAAAATGAATATAAAATAGAGAAAAGTTATATAAAAATAGAGCACGCAAATAAATACATGCAATTGTTAATACCATTCAATTAAAAATAAAAGTAAATAAAGCTGTCTCAATTTTATACATCTCAATTTTATACATTTTATACATATACGTATGAAAATGCAAGTATGATGTGAATAATACTGGCAATAAGGCAGAATTCCATTTTTATCTATAAACCACCTGATGTTTTGAGGATGTTGTAGTTTTAGCAATTTGTACCATGATGCATAAAATTTATTAATCTTTATTTCTCACTCTTTTAATTATTACATTTTGAGAATTAGTCAAGTAATATCTGGACTTGCATAAAAATCAATTCCTAGATATTTGGGGATGTTGCAATCAGCTACTAGATGCAACTAGCAACCAGGTGCAACCAGCTACCAGATGCAACTTTTAACCAGGTGCAACTTTCAACCAGGTCAACCAGCAGATGCAACCTGTGTCCAGGTACAACCAGGTACCAGATGCAACCAGTGACAATGTGCAACTAATTCCCAGATGCATCCTGCAGCCAAGTGCAACTCACCAGGCACAACCAGCCACCAGGCACAACCAGTCACCAGGCACAACCAGCCACCAGGCATAACCAGTCACCAGGCACAACCAGCCACCAGGCACAACCAGCCACCAGGCACAACCAGGCACCAGGCACAACCAGCCACCAGGCAGTCACTCCACATACTGTTTTCACTCTTTTCTTACTTATCTCAATGAGAAATCTTATCTAGGATTCCTCAAAAACAAAAAAAATAGGTCAGTTATTTTCTTTTTTGTTCTGAATTGATTTGCTGATAAATATTTCATTATATCTCAAATTATCTATTAATAGGTCTTGAATTATTTATCTGTCGCATTCAGATAAGAATCCACCCAACTATCTTAACTTGCTACCTACTTGTTCTTCAGCTCTGCTGATTTCTTCAGTAGTATACTTGTTAGAATCTGCTCCTCAATTATTAGGTCCTATGTTGTTGTTGTAGTAATTTCCCTTCCTGATAGTAGCAACTAGGGAAGCAGGGTTATAGGTCAGTTTTTCTGGGCACTAATGCCACTGGTAGTTCTACAACCATCACTGGCTTGCTGACCTGCCAGAACCATTTGATTGCATTACACAACACCCTGCACAAGCCCGGTACTCGTTTATCAACCAGAGTTGGATGAATGGCTGAGTTGACCATGAGCCGTGCTTCCTAGAAGAACTTGTTCTTCATGGGACTCAAACACGAGAGCTGAGTGTGAGAGACAGAGTCTCTCACCACTGCACCACCACAGCTATTGCTCCTATTGCAGCTGTTGTTATGGTGAGAATTAGAAGGAGAGACGTTCAAACCAGGAACACTGACTAATTCCTTTTGTTATTGCTATTATTTATATAAAGCCTATATACACATCTGTATTTTCCCTGAAGTCCACCATTTATTACGCAGCGCACCCAGCTACTACCGTCAAACGGGATAAAAAGGGACAGTTTTGAGCATTTTTTGTTAATAACTTCTTACCATGAAACATTTTAGAAACGAGTTTGGGCTCATTTTATAGCTCTTTGCGAGGGTTATTGAATGGCATCTCCAAAAAAATTACATATGCTGTACGTGAGGCGCCAGACACAAAAGTGTCCCGAATTACCCCTGGAAATGGGGTAATCCGGGACACTTGCAATAAAATTTAATTTTAAAACATTTGAAGCATGCAGAGTGTACTCATCCATTAATAACAGTATTCTGAAATCCTCCTCTTTCATTGTAGATGATGCAGAGGTAGAATAAATGACATTTTCTGTGATTTTTACTTGTTTTTCATTTATTGATATGATATTAACATATACATTAATTACAGTATTATTGACGTGATATTACCATATCCATGAACAGGCCATTGAGCATTTCAACTACCTTGTCCACTGCAAGCTTCATATCAGCAGCCTTATGGCATTTTTTTCTGTATCTGTAAGCTTACAGGACGGCTTGAAATTTCACACCATTTTAATTGGGTTAAGTGAATTTACTAAAAAAAAGATTGTGAAAAACATACCTGAAACAGAAAGGAATGTTTTAGTGACAACCGTCATATGTTTTTGAGAAATAAATCATAGTTTAGGTCAATTACTTTCCATTCTATGATGCCTGGTGCACAATTCTATATATGACATTCTGTGCACAATTTTGTGATGACCCATGATGCACCAATTTTTTGATAAATAAATTTTTTTTTTGCTGAGTGAGGTAAATGTAATAAATATTCTTTGTTTTTAATCAATTTTTTCTTAACTGGAGCCTTTGCTAACTGATGTTCTACTTTAAATACATTTTTAAGGGTGTCCCTAATTACCCCGTGGGGGGTGTCCCTTTTTACCCCGTCACGTGGAAATGGCTGCCATTTTTTTGGAATGAGATAGGCAAATTCCATCAATTACGTTTTCAAGCCAACACCTGGGTGCAACTTTTATGTAAGTAAAATTTTTTAATATGGGGAATATTTTTTTTTATGCCAACCTTAGCAGAGGTACTTTTCCAAAATTGCACTTTTCACACTTTTTTCAGCGATTTTTAGAGATAGTAAATGTTTGATTTCTTGACTAGCTTTATACATAATAGATAATAAAAATGTTGAAATTTACGCCACTATTTTTAGTTTTGCAATATTCTGATTAGTTTAGCTGCTACAACATTTCTACGAAATGTGGGATGCGCATCCCGATTTACCCCACCCGTCCCTTTTTACTCCGTTTGACAGTACATATGATCTTCAGTTTTTACTGTTGTTACTGGCTGCAGTAAACCCACTTGGGTTTTCACTACAAATTTAATTGTTTTTATAAATTTTCAATGGTTACAAAATTCAATACTACCTGGCACAAACAGCTGCCAGGTGCAACTGACTACCATGCGCAATTAGCTTTCTGGTGCAAGTAGGAGTAATCGCTTTTCATGAGCAATCAGCCACTATGAGCAATACTTGTTCCATAGTATGATACATATTTTTGAATGCTAAATAGCAAAATTAATTAGTAGGGTCAAAAAATGCTTTTATGATTCATATGTTTCATGATGAACTGTAACAAGCTCAGATTAATAATTCCCTCACATAACATATGTGGTTCAGGCCAACTTTTTATTTGTTTCAATCATAAAAATTGAGAATGGATGAATCCAAAGGAAAAATCAGAATGATTTATACAAAACATTTTTTCAAACAATACCTACCTTCAAGAAAACAAAAATTCCAAATCAGTAAAAAGTGCTGAAATGTTGTTTTTTAAATGATGACTTGCTAACCATACAAATAAAAAGATTCTGATATTGGTTGAGACAATTAATGTTTTCTCTTAGAAGTGCTGTTTTCTTAGTTCTGATTGAAACTAGTTTTAAGTCATCTGAGCTCATTCTCATTAACAAAGTATGATATATACCGGTATGTAACTCAATATCTTTGGACAATTTACACCAACATATTTGTAATTTTAACCTAATTTTAGCTCTTTAATTTCAAAATACCATCCATTTTACTTTTTAATATTTCACATTCTGGGAATTAAATTGGAGGGCTAATTGCACATTTGAGGTATAGTCAGATGGGGTAAGACAGGACTGAAATCACTAACAAGCATGTAGCATCTATACCATGAATAAATAAAAAACCCTAAACCTATCACAAGGTGTAGTTATGCAATGGGCTTCTAAGCTACAACTCAGACTTTCTGCATACAACATAGTTTTCTGTACAGATTAAAAAAAGTGAGCTGGTCCCATCTTACCCCACTGGGG